ATCAGAAGTTATGAGAACAACTGTACATCTTTGTTAGCTGGCAAAATATTAAAGTTTTGGTCTTGGCTGTTATAGATTTTCTTTCCGGTGGTGTATGACCGGAAGGAGAAGGCTTGGCACTTAGTTTTTGTATTTGACCTTTTTTTTACAGTTTATAACACACGTGTGTAAAATTTGACCCAGATACATTGATATCTATTTCTGATATTCAAGGTCAGCATTCAACTCTAGTCTTTTCCTTTAAACCTGTTTTTTTTTTTCAATTCACTTATCCATCCATCCATCCATCCATCATCTTCATCCGCTTCTTCCTTTTTGGCTCGTGGGGGGCACTGGTACTCATGTCCAGCCATCTCTGTGCAAGAGGCAGGGGACACCCTGGACAGGTCTCCAGTCCACCACAGGGACACATAGAGCCAAACGAGACAAACAATCATTCATTCTCTCACACCTAGGGACAGAGTTACCAGTCAGCCTAACATGCTTGTTTTTGGTCTGTGGGAGGAACCATATTGATTTATTTGTTTGATTAGTATTTAATAATAATAATGGAATAATATTAATAACAATACGGAGCAATTAAGGATTGGGTGTCTTCTTGCTCGGTGGCTGGGTGTCGAGCCGTGGCTTTCTGGCCTCGGGTCGGGTGCCCTGCCTCTACCTCATCTCGGTCCCTAAAAATGAGTTCCCTGACCGGGAATCGAACCCGGGCCGCGGCGGTGAGAGCGCCGAATCCTAACCACTAGACCACCAGGGACTAAGTGTTGATCAAAAAATCTGTGTATATGAAATTAAATTCTATCTGTTTTTATTTTATTTCTTTTATGTTGTTATTGAAATGCACTGCATGTCTGAGAATCTACGCAAGTTTACGGTAAGTAACAATGAAGGTTTTGCAGCGGTTTGATAACACCTAGGTTTGTACAGAGTGAACCATCTTCTTGCTGATAGACGTCCTTTGGCTTGGAGCGCGTCAAAAACGGTGTCGTCAGTTCCGTAAACGTTTTTTTTCCCCCTTCTGGCTTCACGGTTGAAGGAGCAGAATTATTTACGCAATGTCCGACTAAAGGCAGTGGAAGTAAACTATTACATTGAGATGTGATTTTTACATTCTTAAACAAGCGTTTCCCTCTGGCTTTCCGTCCTTGTAGTGACACAACAGTGTGCTCTCAGCAGCGCTTGAACTGGGATGCCCTCGCACTACTAGCTTGTTGTTAGCTTTGCCAGGAGCACTGTGTTCGCGACGGGACCAAACACTGTAAGTCCAACTAATTTGTCGGTGCCCGTGTAATATTTTAGCTATATCTTTAAGAATTTGTTTTTTTTTTCTCTTATTTTTCCGTTAAACTTAGCCAAATTAATTGTTGAATTTTATTTTACCCAGCTTTTCAACATCTGCTCTGTTAATTCGAAGCAGGCCTTTTTTTTTTTTTAAACCACCTCTTTCCCTTGAAAATTATCCCATTTTGACACGTTTCCTTGAAAGAATTGTTGAAATGAACACGTTTAGAGTTTTTAAATTGTGCGTTTGTATGCGACACAAAGGACAGAAAAAAAAAAATAAAAAAATCCATCTTTTAAGTCCACCTCATCAGGTATCAGCCCCTGAGACTGGTGGGAACTGGTGGGAACTTTGCACCTGTGCTGGTGCACCTGTTTAGCTTTGCAGTCATGCTACCAGCTCCTAATGCTCAAAGTTCTGCTGGTATGTTCTTGCTGCTTTTGTCAATGAATAAACAAGTCATTTTTCGAGATGTTTGTAAAATGTAATGGGTGTTTTCTGATTTAGCCCATCACTGAATAATAATTTAGAGGATTTTGTTTGGCAATGAGACTGTCTATAACTCAAACTGAAATCTGGGTGACCCCATCACAGTTTGACTGATTCAACCAGACTTAATTCATATGATTCTTAACATAAAAAAATATATAGTTCAAATTAATAGCAATGGATATGTGACAACGTTTCTAGGGTGCAGTAAAGCCATTGAGTACTGTTTGGAAAAAAAAAAAAAAAAAAAAACCAGCTTCTGCAACTGTAAAGTCAACAGACTGGGCATGGCCAACTATGTGCTTATAATGGGAGAAGTCCACTTTAATGAGGTCAGAGCCAGTACAAATAGGCAGGTCTCATTCCTTCAGTAGTGCTGCTCTTGACTTTCCAGTCAACTCTGATAATGCTGCCAGCAATTGATCATACTCCCTGAAACCTGGTAGTAAACTATCCAAAAACGGGTATTAATTTTTTAAAATGGATTTGATAAAACTATACACAGTTTCCTGGGGTGTAATTTACATGTAACTTTTAGTTTTTTCCTCCCTGAGGTATACAGTATTATTTAAACTAGACCTATTAGCACATAATGAGCATGCATGATACCAGTGACAACATATTTGGATGCTTGTGGATAAGTTCATTTGTCTTTTACACAAACAAGAGAGAGTAAGTAAACTCCCAACGTTTTTATCGCATTACTTCATGTTAGTTTTCAGACGTCCGTCAAGTGTTTTTTTTTCCCACAAGCAATGCGGTGGAGTGGTTGAAAACTATGTGCCTATTAATCTTTTCATACCAAGTTTCTATGTGGATAAAAATCTTTCACATAAAATGGCAAACTATAAATCGGGAATCATACTTAATGATTTGCATTTCACTATGCTTAAACCATCACACTTAGGTGAGGTGTGTCAAAGCTTTAGGGCAGCAGAGCTGATTATGTACTTCTATATCTGTAATTATTTTATGAAAGCCACATACATTCCTCAGAGGTACTCCACCTGCTTTGTTGGTCTTTGTTTAGGTTTTCTGCACATGCTGGCATTTGTTGCCAACTGAGGTTTCTTAATGCACAAATATTATACATTCAGTAAACGTGCCACTGATTTGTGTTGGAGTGTAATGCATGTAACGTGTAGTTTTAATTGCATGTTATAATGTAATTCTTTTTCTTCTTCTTCATCTTTTCCCTCTTCAGGGGTCTCCACAGCAAGTCATCCTCCTCCATCTCTGTCCTCTGCATCCTCTGTCCTCACTCCAACTACCTCCATGTCCTCTCTTAACTGCATCCATATATCTTCTCATTGTCTTTTTCCTGGCAGCTGCATTTCTAACATCCTTCTACCAGTATACCCACTGTCCCTCCTCTGGACATGTCCAAACCATCTCAGTCTGGCCACTCTAACTTTATCTCCCAGATGTTCAACTTGTGCCGTATGCTATAATTTAATTGTAAGAGATAAAAGGCAAATAACTTTGTCCTGTTAGAATAATTACACTGTTCATGTAAACTTCTTTCTGTGTTCCTCTTGTCAGGGTTTTTTTTATGAGAGTGTGGGGTTTATAAAAACAGTCCAGTGATTGAGCTTCAAAGTGGAGTGGTCCCTTCACCACGACAGCTCATTGCAGGGATTGTGTGTGTGTGTGTGTGTGTGTGTTTTGCATGAAGTAGAGTATCCATTCTTCTGTGTGTTGTTTTTATCCTGAGTTGTAACCTTGCTCTTTGAAAACCACCTCCACGATTGTCTGTGGTAATTATATTTCATTTTGAGTATTGATTTGGTGTTTTCGATAAACCATAGTCTCTTTCTGTATACAAGCCGTAAATCGTCTGCCACTGTTTTTCATACTTTTTATTTTCATGCAATCAGCCGGAGTCCCATGCTTTCCTTCATGCTTGTGTCTCACAGATACTGTGCATTATGACAGAAAGCATTATGAGTAAAGCTGCCACAATGGAGATTCCTATCAACAGCAATGGTGACACTGGGGCACGACAAGAAGACGACGGCCTCGAACAGGTGAGTCACAGTTGGGCTTCAGTTGACAGATTGATGCTAGAATAATGAATATTCTGCTGGACCTTTCGTTGACCTTTCCACTGTGCTTTGATGACTTTCCACATGATTTTGTAACATTATTGATATGTGGTTTTATTTATAGACCCAAATATTTTAATTGTAACCATAGTAATTATCCAACGAAGTTAAGTCGCATCATCTGGATGGTTTCTTTGAGGTCAGGTTTCTTTAAGTCGGGTCCAGAGGACCTGACTTAATTTTGTTGGATTTTTCTACCTGGATTAGGGATGCACAATATTATTGATATCAGCCAATATTAGCAATAATGTTAAATATCGGACATCAAAAAAACTTGGAGATATAAAAGGTGCTGTTTTAAGTTAATGGAAGAAGGACCTCATACTAAATAATTTGGGAAAACTTATTTTAAGCGATATAAAGAAAAGAAAAAAGCATATCACCACTTAAATAGGCAAAATGATGCATTTATGACTTTCAAAAATTATGTCCACCCCCTCATCAGCCTAACAGCGATTTGATCCATTGAACCCTGACATGTGGGGGGTGCACCTCAGCAGGGGATCATTGAGTTCACTACAGCGCAACAGTTTTCTTACCTTGCATGCTGGAGAACGGGGTTCGAGCCTCATTGAAAACATTTTTTTTGTTTTGCTCAAACCAAAATATTTTAGCTTCTTGAAGATGACAACAGTAATATTTCTATAATGTTCCAAGAGATCTCTGCTTAGTAGAAACAATAGATCTTGTTTCATCATTTTAGTAGCTCATAATTTATATTGACCACAATGAATCAATGTATCTGAAGAATATTTTTGTTTGATTTAGTGGATTTGTTTATTGGACGTATGTTTTCTGCATGTTGTATTTATTTAGAGCTGTAAAAATTTTAACGCTGCAACAGATCAGTGGCAATTATTCAGTGACCACAAAAGTAATTTAAACCAAATCAAATGTTCTTTAACATGGTTCTAAACAATCTAAAGACTGATGAAATCTTGCAAACATATTTAAAGTATATTGATGGTTTCACACTGTAATTCACCTGCAAAGTTGCACATTAAATTTTTTTAATCGCTAGAGCAGAGTTTTTGTGTACACGTTTCCATGGCAACATTGGGGCGCTGCATATGTCTGTGGTCGTGATTAATTTTTCATTTTGGGCTTTATTATTAAGTATGGATGCATGCCATATGTTTAGCAACCTGTTCTTATGGTTTATATGGCTTTATATTTAGTAGAAGGAATTAAAAAAAAAAGCTTTTGTTGCAAGTCACATGACCGAGAAGCTGAATCGAGCACGAGGGCGGGTGGAGAAAGACCTTCGGTGCTCCTGTTAGTTTCTGTAAGTTGTCTAACTGGCAAACACAATAATGAATGTTTAATTTTTATTTCAATTTACAGCCATACATTTCTCTCCCCCCCACACACACACACACACACACAAAAGCTGAAAACGCCTGATTAAAAACACACCAAATTAAATTAAATGCTGTTCTTGAACCCTTTGGAGTAAATTCAAAAGTTTGGTTTCTCTGAAAAGGTAACACTTTGAGTTTTTGACATAAATATTGTAACTAGTTTGTAGTTATTGAAGTTGAAACACAAAAAAATATTTCTCATTTGAATTTATTTATTTACGTTTATGAATTTGGAGGGACGGACTGTAAAATTGAGGCTGCAGCATCAAGTCTTCCCTATTAACAGTGAAAATTCTATAACAGTAACACCAAAAATAATTATTCTGGACATATTTTTATGAGAGTACGTTCATGCATATTTCAAAGTGTCCAAATGGAGTCCAGCATGTCCACACAATTGGACACCAACATCTTAAATCTGTAACTCCTTAAGGCTTAAACATAGACATCAGTGAGGGCTCTGATGAAAGGGAGAACTACAGGAATCATATCCTACGTCCAAATTTACTGTCAGCATGATTACAATACAGTAAAGTATAAACTAAATTATTAATAATAGAAAGCTCACAGCAGAAAGCACATAAATACACAGGTCACCTCTAGCGCCACACGCAGCTGAAAACATGATAAAAATGCATAATTTCCTTAGTTTTTCCTAAAATGTTTTCATCTAAACAATATATAAACAAACAGCAGCAGGTTAAAAAAAGATTTTCACTTAATTTTGAAGTAGAGTATGTTCTGCTATATGACCCTTGTGATCCTCGCAACCCAAAAAGGAAGAAGTGGGTAAAGATAACGGATGGATGGATTTCACACTTCCATTTTATATTTTACCCTTGCCTAAAAACTACCGGTACACGACAATCAAAATGTTAGGTGTCTGATGACAAATTTCTTGTTCTTTATGCATGAATAGAAGTGATTTGCATTTGAAAAGCATGTGATCTGGTCTCATCTGTTATGAGTGCAACTCATGCACTTCACAACAGCACATTCTCTGCCTAAGAATTTTCTTTCATTATTTTATGGAAACAAATCAATTGACAGTTAAAGCTTTTTTTTTGCATAAATGTTTATTTTAAATTATTAAATTCAATTCAGTTTATTTGTGTAGTGCCAAGTCACAACAGAAGTCGTCTCAGGGCACTGAACAGAAACATTCATATATAAAAATAATAATTTAACATATTTATATGAGGAGCAGACTGCTTTAAATTGAACTCCATCACAGAACTCATCTTGAGCAAGCATGAAGGTGACAGTGGAAAGGAAAAACTAACTCATGAGGAAGAAACCTTTAGCAGAACCAGGCTCAGACAAGCGGCCATCTGCTTCGACCGACTGGGTTTGGTAGGAACAGATACACAATGGCAGGTCAAGAATCACATGTTAAGCTAGAAATAGTATAAAATGAAAACTATTCAATTTTAAAAATTCATTTAAGTAATTGAGGTCAATTTGTCCTCCAGTAGTTTAAGTCTATGGCAGCATAACAAGCCAACCCTAACTATAGGATTTATCAAAAAGGAAAGTGTTAATCCCAGTCTTAAAACTGGACAACATGTCAGCCTCATGGACAGAAACTGGAAGTTGGTTCCACAAGAGAGGAGCCTGATAACTGAAATATCTTCCTCCCATTCTGCTTTTGGAAACTCTAGGAACCACAAGTAAGCCTGCGGTCTGACAGCGAGGTGCTCTGTTAGGAAAATATGGAACAATAAGATATCGAATATAAGATGGAGCTAGGTTGTTGAGAGCTTTGTAAGTTAGAAGTAAGATTTTCAATTCTATTCTGAATTTAACAGGGAGTCAGTGGAGATTTGCAAACCATGTGTGCTTTGAGTGGTTTGAGGTGGAGATTATAAAACTGGGTGGATTTCACAGCTGTCACATGATTAGCTGAGTCTTGTTCTTAACATACCATTCACTCCATACTCTGCTGCTCTGTTGTAAAATCTTGGAGCTGTTCTTTGTTTCAAGCAGTCTATATACAGGTTGTAATAAAATGGCAAGTCTCTAACAGTTATATTTTCCCAACTGCAGTATACCGGTAGTCATTATTTTAGATATTTTGAACTTACATTAAACATTGTTTGACTAGCTTTATGCCATGACGACTTGCATTTTAAAGCACAGATTGTTTGCTTTTTCACACTATTCCTACAGGGAGATCGGGTATTGTAGTCCAGCTGTCTCCTTGGGAACCACTTTCTGGACATAACATCTCTTGTTTCTCTATATGTAAGCATGCAGTTACGTACTTAGGTTGGTTAGTTAACCGTAACACTAAAAAATAAACTGAGATGCTACAATGTCAAGTGTTGCCTTCATGGTCAGATTGCTAGACAAAGAAACAAACACTTGTGGTTCTGTCTTATACGAGGGCAAGAAACTCAATTCACCAGAGCAGAAAATGAGCATACATTTTAACTGTAATATGTGGCTTTAGATTAAAAATTGACTAGTGTTTTAAAGATTGAGAGAAGATTGTTGATTTTTCTTGCGCCCATGAGCACGCCCTGTTGCACAAACAGACGAAAGATCCTGGAAGAAGCAATGGCAGTTAATAAAGTTATTTGCTCACCAAACTGTATGCTCAAGTGGTATAAATTGCCCCTCCTTTTCAGCACAGTTTGACAAATATTTAACCATTTGTGTGTGCGGCTGCCTCATTTTGATATCGGAGAGGTAGCCGGCTGCACGGTTTTAGTTCTGTATGGTAACCAGTCGTCATAGCAACTAGACTGAAGCTGGCAGTGCTTTGTCCTTGGATGGCAACTCTCTAAAATCAGATTGCTTTCTATTGTGTAGCACTTAGTTTGAAGCTGTAGTGCCGTGTGTTTGTCATGCACATGGAGATTAAGATTGACAGGGTAAAGAGGAGAAATTGGTTTCAGATGTTGCAGCTTTGTGCGTGTGTCAATGTGAAGATGGTGACTGTCAGCTTGACTCTGACAGAGAAGGAACCGGCGGCCAAGATTGTTGAAACTGTGAAATTACACTGACTGCCCGTTGTTGACTCCGATAACAGCCTTTTAACATTATTTTTAATTGCACTGTTGCACACAAAAGTTCACTTGTGCCTAAGACTAAGGAGCCTTATGTATTAACTTGTTTTTTTATGTTGTGTATCATTCTTTTAGCAAGCACTTTGTTTACACGGTGTCCAATGAAGCCTGTGCCTGTCAGCTTTCTCCCACATTGAAAAGATGCCACAACATAAAATAAAGACATTCACTAACTGATTAAAAAACAAGCCTGCCATACAGATTTATACTAATCTATTATCTTAAAAAAGAACCATACACTTGCATGTTATATCCTTTTGCAAAAGCAACCTAGATGTTGGCACATCTGGGCAGCATGGATCTGCCACTAATTAACGGTCACATCTGTTTTGTCTAAGATTTCACGTTCTTGGATTTTTGTTTGTTTTTAATGACTTTTGTTCAGTACGTTTTTTTTGTTTGTTTTGTTTTTTGGGTGGGGGGGTGGTGTTCAATATCCACATTAAGTTGTGCAGGTTTGCCTTACAATTTTGTAATTTCACTTTGGATACAGTGATGAATAACTGAAATGGCCAAACTCCGGTGATGAATTGGTGATAGAAAGCTAAACATGCTCACTCACTGGACTATCATGATATACAGGTGCTGGTCATAATATTAGAATATCGTGAAAAAGTTGATTTATTTCAGTAATTCTATTCAAAAAGTGAAGTTGTAAATTATATTAATTCATTACATATATATATATATATATATATATAATATAGACCAATATATTTCATATATTTATTTATTTTAATGTTGATGATGTTTATAACTGACAACTAATGAAAACCCCAAATTCAATATCTAAGAAAATTTGAATATTAAGACCAATAAAAAAAAAAAAAGGATTTTTAGAAATGTTGGCCAACTGAAAAGTATGAACATGAAAAGTATGAGCATATACAACACTCAATACTTAGTTGGGGCTCCTTTTGCCTGGATTACTGCAACAATGTGGTGTGGCATGGAGTCGATCAGTCTGCGGCTCTGCTCAGGTGTTATTAGAGCCCAGGTTGCTCTGATAGTTGCCTTCAGCTCTTCTGAATTGTTGGGTTTGACTTATCACATCTTCCTCTTCACAATACCCCATAGATTTTCAGTGGGTTAAGATCAGGCGAGCTTGTTGGCCAATTAAGAACAGGGATACCATGGTCCTTAAACCAGGTACTGGTAGCTTTGGCACTGTGTGCAGGTGCCAAGTCCTGTTGGAAAATGAAATCTGCATCTCCATAAAGTTGGTCAGCAGCAGGAAGCATGAAGTGCTCTAAAACTTCCTGGTAGACAGCTGTATTGACCTTGGACCTCAGAAAACACAGTGGACCAGCACCAGAAGATGACATGGCACCCCAAACCATCACTGACTGTGGAAACTTGACACTGGACCTCAAACAACATGGACTCTGTGCCTCTCCTCTCTTCCTCCAGACTCTGGGACCTTTATTTCCAAAGGAAATGCAAAATTTACTTTCATCAGAGAACATAACTTTGGACCACTCGGCAGCAGTCCCAGGCAAGATTCTTCTGACACCGTCCCTTGTTCAAGAGTGGCTTCACACAAGGAATGCGACAGCTGAAACCCATGTCTTGCATACATCTGTGCGTGGTGGTTCGTGAAGCTCTGACTCCAGCTGTAGTCCACGCTTTGTGAATCTCAGAATCAGAATAAAACTTTATTGGCATTGCACCGAGGTACAATGCGAATATGTACGTATGTCCGAAGATGGGCGGAGTGCACGAAGCTGCGGCTATAAATAATTAGTGCGGCCTTCTTATTCTTATTCAGAATAATATTTTGCTTGGATAAGAAAAGGAAAGAAACATGAGGAGAGACGATATAAAAAAAGATCTCTCACACCGTGTCCTAGACAGGGCACAATTTGACGTTATACATTTACATTTAGGCCGGTGAAGTCATTGAATTTTTAAGGGAAAGTCGTAGCATAGTCCAGAGGCCCCCCCCCAGCCATTGTCCAGATAAGAGGTGACGTTCATCTTCAGCTCAGTTGAGGTTCTGTCACATGTCCACAGCCTTGGGGAAGGGAGGGGTGAGGAGACAGTCAAAGCATCTTTGTTGTTTTCAAAACATTCCAGGAGGAGTTGAGATAAGTCCGGCATCAAGGCCACAGTTTGGGTCAGGCAGAACTCGTGAATTGTTGTTTCTGCCTTTTAAAGTCTCGCTGGTATATATTCCTCTGATGGAAACTCCAAAACAGCCGAATTGATCCTTTACTCCAAAAGTCGAGCTCACAGCTTCTCCAGATTATTCCACCATTCATGAGTGCTGCCATCACAGTCCTGATAACAGCTCCTCCAATTCCCTGTCACAGCTCCACATTCAGTCTGAGCACTGTCAAGCTTCAACACCTCCACACAAATTTGTAGACAACCAGATTTCACCAACCAAACAGTAGAATCTAGTTGTCATCATGAATCCAATTTGTTCCTTAGAGGTCAGAGGGTCCTCCTTACCCTGACTCCTGTCGGGAGAAGTTGATCGATTTTGTTGAGAGACCAGCTGAACCTTCCAATTAAGAGGTATGCAGGAAAAAAAAGAGAGGCTTTTTAAGGGTTCACAGGACAAAAAAGCGCAGCAGGGAAGCGGGTGGGGGAAACACGTCTGGTTTCACCGTAGAATAGCAGGGAAAAAAAAATTCCCCCACATTTTGGAATGGGTTTTGTTTCACAATCCTCTCCAGGGTGCGGTTATCCCTATTGCTTGTACACTTTTTTTCTACCACATCTTTTCCTTTCCTTCTCCTCTCTATTAATGTGCTTGGACACAGAGCTCTGTGAACAGCCAGCATCTTTAGCAATGTTGCCTGCCCTCCTTGTGCAAGGTGTCAGTGGTCGTCTTTTGGACAACTGTCAAGTCAGCAGTCTTCCCCATGATTGTGTAACTTATAGATCTAGACTGAGACCATTTAAAGGCCTTTGCAAGTGTTTTGAGTTAATTAGCTGATTAGACTGTGGCACCAAGTGTCTTCAGTATTGAACCTTTTCACAATATTCTAATTTTATGAGATACTGAATTTGGGGTTTTCTTTAGTTCAATTATAATCATCAACATAAAAAGAAATACGCATTTGAAATATATCAGTCTGTGTGTAATAAATAAATATAATATAAAAGTTTCACTTTTTTGAATGGAATTACTCAAATAAATTAACTTTTTCATGATATTCTAATTTTATGACCAGCACCTGTAGTTTAATTAAAGTAATCCAGAAAATGTTAAAAGTTGGTTTGGTGTGACATCAGTCATCACTACTCTCCATATTATATCACTGTTTTGTTGCATTTTATTTTATGATTTGAGTCATATATTTTTTATTTTTGTCTTTTTTGTTGTTGTTTTCTGTTGTTTGTTGACCCCATCCCCCCATCCCTTCATCTCTCCAGGCTGCAAAGCTGCAGTGGAGCTTAGATGAGAAGGTAGAGAGCTCCAGAGGCACCAGGGTGAGCAGGCCATTTGAGCATTTACATTTGTGGTGTTGGTGTGTAGTACTGTTTAGTGGTTTAACTTGTTTTTCCCCTTACAAATATGGTAAAACGTCTGTGCAGCTTACTGTGCTTTGTGTTCATCTTGCGCTCACTTACCTCGGTTACTAACTGAAATCTCTACAAAAGAGTTTGAGAAGCACCCTTTGGTTGACTCATAGTAACAAATCCATTACAGCTAATACCATAGCATAACGGTATGCTTACCTTCTGTTCAGTTATTTAGTGTGTGTTGTTCTGAGTGGGTGGATTTGACCTACATTCTGTGTGTGTGGGGACTTTAGCAATGTCTGAGTGTTATCCCGTAATCTCTTACTGGGCTGAGGTTAGCAGAACACAAAACTCATTTCACTAAACAGCGTGTTGTACTAATGCTGTCGTGTTGATGTCAATGTGCTTCACTTCTGTTCTCGTCTCACTGTTGGTGTTTAAGCTTATTTAAAAAAAAATTTAAAGTGACAGGAGGGTTCATATTTGTTTGTTTACAGAAAGGAAATGGCTACCACCCTTCCGAAGCAACGTTCTGTAGCGTCATTGTGTTACTGTTGTCTAATCCTCTAATTTGAAAGTGTTGTGCTGTGTGTTACCACTTGCTTTTGTTTATATTTGTTAAAGTTTTCTGGTTATGTGATGTTCATTGGAAAGAAAAGGATAAGAGAAGGACTTGTTTTCATGGATTTTCATGATGTAAACCTATTTGTTAGATGAATCAAGATAATTCTCTCTTCATGCAAAAAAAAAAAATCTGTCCATATACTATACATATACTTTGTATATAATACCTTTTTTTTTACATCTGCCACTTGAACTGAAAAATAAATTAAAAAATTTAATGATGGTTGATTTGTGTATTGTATCATGCAGTCTTTTATAATTTATTTCATAAAAGTTCCTTCTGGGAATGTGCAATGCAAATTGGCCAACTCTTTAAGTCTTAGTTTAAAGTATTTTGATTGATACTTAAAACTTGTCTTCACAAACGTGAAACAGGAACAACCTTGTGACTCACGAGAGAGTTCCCATCTGGATGCAAAGCTTTAATAAAGCCTGTCTTAGGAGAAGTTGACTAATTTGAGCATTTCTGCTGTGCAGAATAAAAACAGTCACTACATTAGTTTACCTGTAAGACTACATCCACAGTAATACAATAATGTTTTAAAGCCGCATAAAAAGCAAGCAATTTGTTTTCATCATAACTTCAGTTCTCACTATTCAAGTGAAGATTTACCCAAAAACATTTTCTAATTATGAAAAAAACATTTCCAAAGAAAAATAAAATAACCACATTGATAATGTAAGGAAATTAATTTTGTAGATTCAGAAACTTCAAAAGAATAGTTTTCCTGATGTCTTGTGATTAAACGGCAGATCTTTTGGTATTGTTTGACAGATGGAAGAAAAACAAACTGGTACGTTTACAGGTGCTTCTAAAAGAATTAGAATATTGAGGGTTTTTTTTTTGGTCAATCATTTCAGAAATGGGAACTCATTTATTACATCGATGAATTATCTAAAAATTGAAATATTTCAAGCCTTTATTTTTTGTAATTTTTACGATTATAGATTACAAAAATATAATGATAATAATCAGTGTCACTTTACCTCCATCCATTTGTTTTGCCTGTTTGTTTCTCTTGTGATCTGGATAACTTAGAAGTAAACAAAGCGAGTTACAGACTTACATTTTGGTGTGGCTGCATCTGAGCATAAGAAAAGTTCGTATCAAAAATTGGGTTGCCTTGTCAAAATACAAGGTGGCTGTGTGTGCTTGCATGCATGTGTGCGTGCACTGGCTACTCTATCATTTTTGCAAACTACGCTTTCTAGTTTTTTTTATATTGCTCAAAAACATATTTTCTTTAAACAACTGGGGTGGCCAAGGCCTCCATTGGCCACCTCCTGGCTCTGCCATTGTGCCCGGCGGTGGATAGTTGCTCCCTCTGCTTGCCAGGAGTCGTCACTCTGCGTGGACAAGCCAAAAATTAAAAACCTACTCTGATCTTATGCATAGTGTGACTACTACCCACTTGAATATTTTAGACCAAAAACATTAAGGTTGACCTGCATTCCCTGTATAATTCCAGCCTAGAAAAACACTTTTTTCTTTAAAACTACAATAATTCGCTCATCAAATCCCTCAGCAACAGGGGACATCAGCAGACCACTTATCTTTTATTTGCTGTACCGTAATTTTTACAACACCCAGACATAATTTCACGTTAGCACTTTGAGTTTAACGTGCTTGAAAAGTACTATATAAACAATATGGCATTGAACTAAATATCTTTGCTTCTGCCTAACCAAATTCTTAAACCTCTGTCTCCATTTATTGTTGTTGTTCCTTCTATACTGCTCAACTTAACAGGACCTACAGCAGGTGATGGTATCAGGTCCCAATCTGAATGAGACCAGCATTGTATCTGGAGGCTATGGAGGAACAGCAGAGGGCATCATTTCTACCAGCTCAATCAAAGGTATCTTCTTCATTTTTTCTCTGACTTGGGTTCTCTCTGCCATTGACTGCATATATGCTGCTGTTATATGTGCTGCTGTTGTTCTGTGTATTGTTTTTGTACTATTAGTGCTTAGTGTATTCTTAGTTTGAGCGTATTTCTTAGTGCATATCTTAGATCTTATTTACGGTACTGTTTTTTTTATTTTTTTTTATTTTTTTACAATTTATACTTTTGTTGGATGTACCTGGGACCCTGTCTACACAATTTCATTTCACCACATGTACCACATTTGGAGCAAATGACAATAAAGAACCTTGACTTGACTTTATATATGTGGTTAAGGATGCACGATATTATGGGCATGGTATTGGTATCGGCCGATATTGGCATTAAAGTTAAATATCGAACATCGGCCATTCTATCAAAATAAGTCACCAGTATAAAAGACGCAGTTTTTATCAGACAACCCTGTGACAAGGATGTCTGCAGCGTCAGCACAACGTGATGTTACGTGCGCCTACCTGATCTGATCACGGCGTAGAGGAAGAAGTCAAAATGTTGGCAGTGTGGAAGGGTTTTATTTCATTGAGGATGTCAGATTACGAAGATTTTTGGACTACGTTGAGCCTCGCTACATCGTCCCCAGTCACAGATATTTTTCCGACATAGCCTTACCCGAGTTACAAGCTGTCATTTCCAATGTCACTGAGATGCTAATAGCCAATAATAGCCACAAACATTTGGACGTCGTGTTAGCCCCGTTAGCATGATAAGTCTTACGGCACAATGGATAGACAAAAACTTGAACTTAAAAAGGCTGTCCTTCATGCACAAGAGTGCATCCAACATCACAGTGTTGCTGCCTATTATATTATATTTTGTCACATAGTAATATGTTCATGTATACTACATATTGTTTCAGAAGGAATTTGCAAAAACCTTTACTACCAATTTTTTTTGTTAATATTCCTGCATTTTTGTCCACCTCTCTTCCCCAGGCCCTGCTGTGCAGTACAATCCTGAGTTTAACAAAAGGATCCATATAACGGGATTAGGTGCCTTAAACCTAATTGTTCTAGATAATGGAGAGTTTCTTTCCAAAATGTGAAGCAAAATAAAAAGCTCAAATTTAGGATGATTATATAATGTAACACTTTGTGTTTATGGTTAAAAGTTAGCATGATGATTTCAAATTGAAATTAAAATGATGCTTTTTAAGTGTTTCTGTGTTTGATCACTACTCCGTGATAAAGATCTCATTTTGGAAAATACTCTCTGTACTCGGTGTTACAATTTTAGCTGATTGGGAGGAAGCTTGGCTATCAATTTTAGACACATTTCTCTTTCACATCCTGGCAGAGGGGTGAGAAGTCTTGCCTGCATGCATTCCTGTTTCTTACTCGTTTTCATTATTCGTTCTGTTTCTGCAACTTTAAACGGGTTTTCTGTGCTGTCATTAATTTATATTTTAAAAATGTAAATAAAAGGTGAATTGTAAAACATCAAATTGATCGCACTAATTTTATGTGGTTTTGGGACATCTTATGCTCCTCTAGCCAGACCTGGCAGATATGACAATGAAGCAACTGCTCTCTTGTTTTTGGTTTGATTTCGCACGTAATAAACTTCTGTGAATTATCATTATTGTCTATATTGTAATACAATATACCAAACATTACACCATTTTTAACTTGTGGGACTTTTCTGTAACTGTTCTCCTCTTTCTCATTAAGGTTTGTTTTCACTTTAAGCATCTGCTTTTACCAAATTATACTCAATAATAACATGATCGCCCTCAGATACTGTGACACTACCTAACACCCTTTATGCCTAACTATTTTATGAAAAAGTGTCTGATTTTACTTTTGTTGTTCAGTTTTTATTCAAGATCACATGAGATTTGTTTCACTAGTGTATACAAACCCTAATAGTGTTTCTTTTACAAAGAAGTTTAGATTTAGTAGAGTGCTGTATGAATGGGTGAATGAGGGCACAGATTGTGTTGTAAAGCACTTTGAGTGTTTTGATAAGATAGAAAGGTGTTCTATAAGTACAGTCCATTTACAAAGTTTGTGGTTTTTGCCCCTTCAGTCTTTTAAAGATCAACTCATTTCTTAGAATAGGTCAGTAAAAAGTTTTTTTTTCAACCCTTTAACAAAACAAGCACTGTAATTTTATCACATTTTTAAGACCTTTAAAATACCAACAAAGTTCAGTCAGGTCATTTGGACAGTTTTTTTTTTTTGGTGAGACATTTTGTCCTTCATCCAAAGGACTTCATCAGTCCTTCATCAGTTTTATTTTGGATGATTGACCATGAACTTTGATGTTTTGAACCACTTTGGCTATGGCTGCCTCAGAGGAGTCGACGGGGGAGAGGGCGGACTCCAGAAACCATCTTGTGACCAGCAAAACGGTTGATCCACTATGTGATGAAGTCCTTTTGGATGAAGGACGAAACGTCTCCGCAAAAAAATAATTAAAAAAAAAACCGTCCAGATGACCTGATTGAACTTTGTTGGATTTTCTCCCTGGATTATTGAGCATGAACTTTGAAACCTTTGAAATAAATAAATTTACTTTCAGCTTTTCTTAGTAATTTTATTAGAAATTATTTTATGCAGGCCTACTCCATTTTAATTCCACTGCAGATCAAACTTTGCTCATCATACGCCCTCTTTACCTTTTCGATTATCGTTTTTGTTTTTTACGGTCTTTGTCTTTCACTCTCCTCACAGTTTCCTCTTACATGTAGATTTGTTGTTCTTTATCACATTTTCTTTCTTCTGCATTTTCTTTCTTTTTCCCATATTTCTCCGCTTTTGTATACTTTTTGACTTGAGCTCTTAAATTTTGAATATAAAATAATTTTATATTCCAATTCAGTGCATGAGTTTTTGTTACAGTTTATTCTCATTTGAAATTATGATTTCCTCTGGACCTTTGCTTCATTTGCACCCATCGACCGTCACAAACCTGCATATGAAGGCCCAGTAAAGAAGCCTTGTTTAAGCAGTTATTCCATCGGGCACATAGTAGGCCAGTCCCATGAACACCAAGACTCCCCGGATTGAGAATAAGGCCAGCAATATTACCCTGTCATTTTCAAATGCTTCAACATTGACATCATGCTTGTATTTTCATCTTTTCATCACAGCTCTTTAAAGTGAAGTGTTGTCTGCCCCATTGAGGTGCTCGTCCACAATTTACACCAAATTTCTTCTGTCACAGTTTTAGTTTGATTCTCTTAACTTTGTTTCCTAATGCATGTTTCACAGCTATTGAAGGGTTGGTTGTGGATTAGAGGCCCAGCATTCATCTATTGTCTCTCTTGAACACAGGACTGCATAATTAGTTGTCAGACATGTCTGTTTGGTCTAAGTTTAGCTGGGAATGATCTTGTTCCACCTGAAATTTTAGCTTTGTCTGTCTATTATGCTCATACTTCATACTCTTCTTATTTGTCAGGTCCCAACATGCACCATAGCAGCAGCAGCTCCTCCATGACTGCAGAAGAAACGACCCGCGGTGTGGCTGTGGAGAAAATAGAAGCAATGAGAAAATGGAGTTTTAACACGTACAAGGTACCTAAGTTGTTACAATGTCAAATGAGTGACACATCGATTTTTATGTGGTACAGGGCACTCAAAAATCTGTCAAACTGTTTTGCTTAATGCGCCTTATAATCCAGTGCGCTTTATGTATGAAAACAGACCCGTTCATTGAAATTGCACCTAGGCCTGTCACGATAGCACATTTTGCTGGGCGATTAATTCTCAAAATTATTGCGATAAACAATAATATTTATTGAAATTTGACAATCTGTAATTATTGTCAAATTTAATAATAATATAATAATAATAATCATTTTATTTAAAAAGCGCCTTTCATGACACCCAAGGACACTTTACAGTAAGAACAAAGATCAACAGGAATAAATTACATAAAGAATATAAAATACATACAGCAAAGTTAAGGATAAGCAAGTCTAAAGAGACTATAATTTGACAATAATCTGTAATTATTGTCAAATTTAAATAGAAATGGTTAATTTATTTTGTGTGTAGTACCTTTTTTCGAACACCGGATGGCAGTATAAGACTGAATGGAAGGATGGATAGTAAAGGAGCAAGCAGTGTGTCTAAAAGAAGTGGGAGGGAGGCCCCTTGACATGACATGGGCTGTCTCTTTGGTTCTCAAAATGGCGTCCGGTCGTTGTGGATTGAGCTCTTTAGCATAGCATTTTTCACGCAAATCTTTTAATAAAAAAAATCAGTAAACAAATTCTCAGCTTCTTTTTGCAGAGAAAAAACTTTAAAGCACGGATTTCAACCGTGAACTTTGGAGCTTCAACAAGACTGAGGTTCTCTCCCCCCCCCCCCCCCCCCCGAGGTCGGCCTGTTAGCTTAGCTCGCAGTTTAGCTACTTGGCTAAGCTGCTTTTAATGATCCAAAAACACAATTTTGGATTGTTAAAATTAATTTTAAAGAGAAAGGAAAAAGGAAGGGGTCAGTGAAGAGCACCGGAGTTGAACCTTTTGTCATCCAGTGTCTTCAGTAGAGAAAGAGAGACACGAAGAAACAATAAAGTCGTTCAATGAAAATGAGGTTGATCATTTTCACTTATCATGCGGTTAATTGATTTATTCTTTATCGCAACAGGCCTAATTGCACCTTATAATCCAGTGCACCTTATAGTCCGAAAAACACAGTACTTAATCATAAAAAGTTACTTGGCCAATTTGGGGGCGGGGGATTATTGTAGTATTTTCTGTAAGTAGTTATTTATTTATGTATTTTTTTTGCATAGATGATGCTCTCGTTAAGTTTGAATCTTTCATACACTGTCTCTGTGTCTTTCTCCTTTTAGTGCACAAAACAAATGATTTCTGAGCGTTTTGGTCGGGGTTCACGGACGGTGGATCTTGAGCTGGAAGCTCAGATCGAGCTATTGAGAGACACAAAAAGGAAATATGAAAGTGTGCTGCGGCTGGCCAAAGCACTGACCAATCACTTCTACAATATGGTGCAGACCCAGCACGCACTAGGTGACACCTTTGCTGACCTCAGTCAGAAATCTCCAGAGTTAAGGGTGAGATTTCAAAATGTGTTCAATTTCATACACCCCTCAAAACACGGCCGTATTACGGTATAATTAATCTCCATTCATTCATATGGAAACATTCTTTTGTCCTGCCCATAACTTCTCATCTGCTCAAGAAAATTTAATAGAACTTGCAACAAATTTGTACCACCGCTACACAGTATGGTGTGTATCTTTTCATCACCCCAGCTTCAAGTTTAAGGTCACAAATCAAGGTCAAATGTCTTGCAAGGTTTTTGCTTGTCCAGTCCATAACTTCTGAACAACTTATGATAATTTAATGAAACTTTATCAATTTGTACCACCACTACACTGTGTCCTGTAATCTTTTCATCACCTCAGCTCTAAAGTCAAGTTCTCAAATCAATCAAGGTCAAATATTGCACACAGATTTTGCTTGTGTGGGCCATTACTATAGATTGCTATTTAATAGTTTGCTGATGGGCGTATAATGTGACGTGTGCTGTACCCCTGCTTTAAAACTCTCACTGACTTTGTTGTTCTCGGTGTATGATTATATCTAATAAATTTTCCTTCTTCACAGGATGAGTTTGGCTACAATGCAGAGACCCAGAAGCTGCTTTGTAAGAACGGGGAGACTTTACTCGGTGCCATTAACTTCTTCGTGTCAAGCATCAACACACTCGTCAGTAAGACCATGGAGGACACCTTGATGACAATCAAGTTGTATGAAAATGCAAGGTTAGCACACAAAATCTGAGCTGTGGAAATGGGATCTGTCAGATTTGGATGTGGTTTTAAATGTGTTGGGTCAAATTCAAACAGTTGGAGAATACCGTACTTGCCGCCGTACATATAGCACTGCCGTATAAATCGCATCAGTACAAATATGCCTAAAGTGGAAACAAACCAAATACGTCACATCTATTATGTGTCACTGCTGACCACCCAGAAACATGGGCCGGTGTTGTGCCCGTGGCTGTCAAATGGCAGCCACGGGAGCGTGCACGGAAGGACTTTAACAAGAATTTAACAAGATTAACACTTAAAAACAATTATTTGTTTGCTGGAAAATATAGCAAACATCCCAATGCATGCTCAATAATCCAGACAGAAAAATCCAAAAAGTTAAGTCTGGTCCTCTGGACATTCAAAAAACAAAACAAAACAAAAATAGGAATTTTTGGATACAGCAAAGGTGCGTCTCAGTTTAACTTTTCCTTAATAAATGCACTTTAGCTGTCAAATCAGCTGCATTTCAAAAATCTATTCACAGGAGCGCGCAAAGGGAGGACTTGCACTGCATTTCATCGAAATTTAACAAGATTAGCACCTAAAAACAATTATTTGGTTGCTCAACAGGTGTGTCTCAGTTGAACTTTTCCTTAATAAATGCACTTTAATGGTCAAATCAACTGCATGTCACCTGGGCGGTGCGGCGAAATGCAGCTGATTTGACGTTTGCTCCAGGAGTTCCGGAACAAGACGAAGGTGGCTTGGTATGGCAGTAGCCAGTTTTACTTATTGATGAGACACTTGGCTTGCCATTTTAGTCGAGAGCCCTCTAGTGGCTGAAAATGGTAGTGGTCAATATTTTCCATGTCAGAATAAATGAAATCGTCAGTTCTCAGCCAAAAGTTGGGTTATAAATATGGGAGGTGAAACGTAAATAAGTCGCTTCGCTGTATAAGTTGCAGGGCATGCAAATTTATGCAAACAGGTGCGACCTATGCAGCGAAAAGTACGGTAAGCGCTTCTGTTATCTGGGTTTTTATTAGGCAACAGATTTCAAGGCTTGAAAATATAATGGTAAGGCTGCCACATATAGAAATGTGTTCCTTTGGTGACAACAAAACAAACTAGTTAATTAAAAATAGCTTCTTTTTTTTTTATTAAAACCAGAGAACTTCTGATGGACCTCAATCTTCAATTATGGGTGATTACTAGCTGAAAAATGGACCACATCAATTTAAAAACCCAAAAATGTCAGCAATATTCTTAAAGCATGAGTCCACTGCCCCCATGTGGTAAAAACAATATTGTAATCTTTGTTCTAGATTATGCTGAACTGTAGAAATTATGCAGTAAGAATTACGGTTGTTACTCTGTGGAACAATTAGATTAACTATTAACTGATTGATGTAAATTTAAAAAGTCATCAACTCTACCTGACACCAAGTGAAGATGTCAAATATTTGCTATGACTTTTTAAGACTTTTGCACATAGTTGGACATAAACTCTTTAATTATGAAAGACCATACCACACTTGTCATTGTGCCTGACAGACATACAGACAGATAACTGGGCTTTACTTTTTGCTATGTGATAAAAACCTTTTGAATAGTCACAACATGTGGATTGTTGACGCACTATTATTTCAATTGTGAACTTTTTTTTTTTCTTTAATGATGCTTTTTTTTTTTTTTGCTCTTTATTTGTGCATGTATAGACTGGAGTTTGATGCCTACCGGTCAGACCTTGAGGAACTGAGCCAGGGTCCAAGAGATGCTGTAGCCATGGCACGAATCGAAGCTGCTCAGCAGCAATATCAAATTCACAAAGAAAAATACGAACGTCTTCGCTCAGATGTTACTATTAAAATCAGATTTCTGGAGGAGAATAAGGTTAGTCTGTGTAGCAGTTCATCATTGTTATATTTAAAAAATCCAGCTACAGAAAAAGCTATTTATGAACTTCCATGCGTTTTCTTCCAGGTGAAGGTAATGCACAAGCAGCTCCTCCTCTTCCATAACGCCATCTCTGCGTACTTTGCCGGCAATCAACAGCAACTGGAGGAAACACTGAAGGAGTTTAATATAAAGCTGAGACCCCTGGGGGCCGACAAGCCCTCCTGGATAGAAGAGCAATAAGAGATCCTGCAGGACTTCCTCCAGCTTTCTTTTCAGCCACCTACACCTGTTGAAACCCCCAACTTACTGAAGACCACAGCAGAGGGAAATGTGCAGTGACAGCTGGGTGGATGAGGATATTAAGAGTTATGAAGTGACTGGATATCAGGGTTTGATTGGAACACCGAGTGGCCAGTTTTATGAACATTCAAGGGACTTTTTGTGCCTATCTTCTTCCCAGCTTCCTTTTTCCAGTTTAACCTTTGTGCTGTTTCCACACGCATCTTCTTGCCTAACCCTATTCTCTATTACAATGCTAGTTTGCTGCACAAGCTTGTGTTGGTCATTGTACTCGAGGTCAGAGTTGTTGTAACTTCATGCAGTCTTATTAATTGAGGTGGTGTAGGGAGGTTAAGCTGTTAAAACACAGCTGTAGTTAATTCATCGCTCTCCCACTGCGCCTCTTTATTTGTAGGAGAAAAGTTAAAGATTTCCAATCAAACATGAAGGGGATTTGTATAACGCGAGAAGGAAACATTCAGACGTTTCAGATCGCTGTAATTTTCAAATCAATTTTGATTTCTCCTAGCTCATTAAGACCTTGTTTATTTTTGAGTAACATCTGTGGTTTTAAAATGATTTTACTTCAAGGTAACCGTGCTGTTTGTTCGAGTGAAGGATCGTTACGTTGTAATATGTGATGGGGTTTGGGCTGCAAAACACTACAGTTCATTTCAAACTATTAACCTGAATATTCTTTGATTTTATTTATATATGCAACAATTATTTAAGGAACACTGCCACAGCTTAAAAAAGTTGTGGTCTGGGTTATCAATATCTGGATTTTAGTTACCCAAAGAGAACTGCTTGTGTTAAATGGATGTTGACGTTTATGTTTACGTGGGTTATGTCAAGTTTGACATTAAGGATCATGCTTTCAGTTTTTCAAAACATGCCATGATTGGCTTTTTTATGTTGATTATTGTACCTTTCTGCTATTACTAATTTTCTTATTTTAGCATCAAATCATGTTTAAATAATTAGTTGGGATTGACTATAAAATATTGGCATTATTACATAATTAAGTTTTGTCACTTTATTTAAGTTCACATTGTGCTCATGTGTTGGGTTTACTCACTAAAAGCTGTTCAGTTGTGACACTTGGCGTACAAAGGGTAAAAAAAAAATACCTCAGAGTGACCAAATCTGACTGACCTACTCCAAAACGTTAGTTATTTTAGTTCCTGCTGTCAAAAACGTGTGAAGTCATGAAAAGAAGTCTGTACACTGAATGTTTAACTACTCATGAGGGTCTTTAATAACATTTGATCAGTTGACAGTTCAGTCAGTCCGACTGCTTCTTGTCTGCATTTGCATGGCAGATTGCGATGGAAATGTTCAGATGCGTGCTTACACTAAAGCTCAACTCTTGCAGCTTGCATGCACTGGTGTATCGTCACATTGACAGCTGTTAACCTAAATGTGGTTCCTGGCTGGAGTAGAATTTAAACTTTTAGTTTACTTCTCATGCGCCACCTTTAAGGTCAATGATAAATACAAAAAATGTTTTATTTGGCTGAAAAAGAAACATTCACAATTTACTCTCCAGCTGCTGGTCTGCTTGACTATCACAAGGCAATATCAACAAAATGTGGTTCCTTTTTTGTCCTGACTTGTCCTTTTTAAAATTCATTATCCAACGTTGAAATGAATCATGATTGTCATTTTATTTTATTCTGTTTCTGTAAAACTTTGCATAAAAAAAGACCTGATGAATATTTGAAGTCACTCTTCTAAGATCTTTAATGTTGCTAAGAGTGAATTTTTTTAAAATATATTTTTTGTGTACAATCAAATGTTTTTTAGACGGAGCTGAGATGTTCTAAATGGGTGCACTTACTGTATTTATGATTTGTTTTTAAAGCGGTTTTCATGTCATGGATACTCTGTTTATTCCTCGTTCACCTGAAAAGTTCCATCAAAATTAAAAATTATCATTTGGAAGTAGTCTGCTTGTCAAGTTTGTGTTATTTGTAACATTTGTGCTGCATTTTGCTTTTTCATACAAATGGACAGAAAATTCTGGATTTAGAATAAAATGAAAAGTGATTCAGTTCTAGCTCTGAATGATTCTACGTAGTTCTTTTATTCATTTCAGTTTATTTCAAGTAATTCAGTAAGTCCAGTATTTGATTACTGCAATGATAAAGCACCAGATTGTTGAATACTTCAAGAATATTCCGAAAAGGCCCTTTCAGGGATTATTTGTCAAATATGATTGGTGTACTGTATGGTCAATGGACAGCTATACTCAGAATATTAAACAAGATGCCGTTTAACCACTTATACCAGGGCTACTCAACTGTAGGCCCACAGATAATGGGTGACTTCAATCCGGCCCACCAATTAAAATAAAACGATACAACTATATATATATACACAGGCCTTTCTCAAAAAATTAGCATATTGTGATAAAGGTCATTATTTTCCATAATGTAAAGATTTAAATGAAACTTTCATATATTTCAGATTCATTGCACACCAACTGAAATATTTCAGGTCTTTAATTGTTTTAATACTGATGATTATGGCATACAGCTCATCCATCCATCCATTATCTTTACCCGCTTATTCCATTTTGGGTCACGGGGG